CTTGCTATATAGAAAACAGCTCTCATGCACTCAACTGTTAGATTACCAAACAGACTGGAGTATTTTTCCTAAGCCACCGTTAATATTCAAACTGATTCAAAACGCCCTAAACAGCCATGCACTTCATGAGCTGAGCTTCATTGTTACTTTATCAGCACCTGGACCTGACTTTATCCCAGGCAAGATGAGGAATTTTTTTTTGCATATCTCAACATCGTTGTTGGGTATTATGTCAAAGTGGACCAATTCGTCTTTCCTTCCCCAAATAGACCTACATGTAGCATGTCTTACCTCAGCACTGTGTTTGTTTCCATTTTGTTTGGTGGAGATGACATGTGGTGTATTTGCTTCCTGACAAAAATCGGCCTTTGTTATTATTAGGTCTACATTAGTTCAATAGTAAAATGTCCTACCTGCCTGCGACAAAAAACAGGATGTTGATAAAAAGTTCCCTGTTTCTAAACCGTTTTGCATCCATCTACGGCGTGTATCTGAAAGAAAAAAAGTGCATTATGAAAATAACACGAATAACTGTATATATACAAAAGTGGCATGGCGACATATTTGCTAGTCTGTTCCACTTGGCACTTATCGATTGGTCCAGCGATTGGTCAACTGACATGGGAAAACTCTATCCTTAAGAATATCCACCTAGACTTGGTTCTGACTTGTGTTCAAAGTGCCAGTTTATTATTAACAAAGCACAAAAAATGCACAGATAATGCACTTTAGAAAAAAAGGTAGTTCTCTAGAATATAGAGTTGTTTAAGGTCCTAAATAACCCATCCTGAGGCATATTTTGACAATATATTTTGTTTATCTGACATGGATGATTTGTAGGTCTATTTTTATGTTCTGTGATAATTTTTTCATCACTGTCACATTTTGGCACCTAAATTGAACTGTAAAGTTGACGATTTTAACCCCTGAGTGGGGTACAGGCATTAGTACATTATCCTAAGTGACCTCGGGTGAAACTCCGGAGGAAGGTTAAGGATTGGGGCCCGAAAAGTCCGGAGTGTCGCCCGAAGGGTCATCAAGCGGTCTCTGAACAGAGACAAAGAGGGCGGGCGGGTGGGTATTAGAAACTTTCAACCTTCCGCCATATTTCCTACGACACTCATCCCCCCCACCCCCCGTCCGCCTCCTTAATATCTCTCGCTCTCTATCCCGCACATTCCCGTCGCCTCCGGCGTAGGTCGAAAGGGGAGGAAACACGCTCTCACGGCCGTATAAAGGATTCCCTGGACACGTGATAATGTCCAGGTGTTTAATTAATGCACGCGGACTGCTCCTGACCAGGTGTCGCCTCTTAACGACGCGAAACCCGGTCAGGAGCGTCCTCGTGCCTCAATTAGAATAGTAAGAAGGGCCTACTCCGCCTCTTTGGGGACCCCAGGTGGTCCCATGGGGGACAACAAGAGGCAGCTGGGCCAATCAGGCTATCTTGTTTGGATGGTGGGGCATAGCTACAACTTGACAAGTATGGAAGGGAAAATACAATTTTTCTGAATTTGTGTTTATAATAAATTATACTGGTGTGCCGTTATACAGATATGTGAACAAACATGACAAAGCAAGACCTGTGTAAACTTCATTTTATTTTCAATGCCACGAACTCTGATCGATCTGACCGACGAACTTACTGTAGATTATTTGCTACTTCTCTGATACAACAAATACTGGCCAATCATAACTTCCGACAAACTTTAATAAGATCGCACATATTTTGTAACGTTACATACAACCGAGGATAGAATAAAGGTGAATTGTGCAGATGTCGGGGCCAAAATATATATAACTTATAAGTCCAAGTTCTGGCAAACGTTATTTACCTAACGTTCACCGATTCACTAAAAATCCCATACCACGTCCGTTCCTGCTTTCCTTTGCGGCTATCTGTCCGGCGGCTTGACAAATTCTTGTCGATCGTCGAGCCATGTATAGGCTATTTTCCATGCCGAGAGCGGGGTTTCTCTTTTTAGCGAACGCCCACGAAAGCCCAAAAATTGTCGCAGGAATCTTAAAATTTTTTTGTGTGGTCATGTCCAGAGTGTGCTCCCGCGTGTCCATGCCAAGTTTGAAGCGAATCCATCGAGCCGAACTTAAATAAATCGAAATCTACTGTTTTTTTTCTCTTCTTGGCGAACGCCCACTTTACTTCCGGGTTCGCTGCGAACGCCCACTACTCTTTGCAAAATTTCGGCCCTCGCGCAACGCTGGCAAAATCCACCACCACAAATATGTTCTTATATGCCTCCCCTGAAGTTCTGACAAGTTTCCGTGCTTTACGAGCTTTTAAAGTACCCATTTTTTGACAAAATATGC